AATAAAGATAATAATAAAACAGACAGTATAAATTCCGTACAGTCGTCTCTGAAGTCTCATACTTCGTTTTAAAAAAATCGTTCGTTCCGTAAAAACATATTGTTTTTCAAGTTCATGCGAAAGAACGATGTAGAAATCGATCATGAACGATCCAGACCGTTTGGACGATTTTAAATCGTTCTTTTTTAGTGTTTTAAAACCGATCGTTTTTTTATTTCTCTGAACGATCCAATTCGTTCGTCTATTGTTCGTTTATTCTAAACGCACTATCGTTCACGAAAAATTTAGTTCATTCTCATAAATTTCGTTAGTTAACAAAACGATGCCCAATCGTTATACGTAAGTATTCATGCTTTGCAATAAGAAATATTATTTCCGTTCATTTTATGGCAATTACATTTCTGGTCGCATTGCACTGAAGATAAATTACCGAAGAAATATTTATTATCAATTAGAAGTAAAACATAAAACTTACTCGTTCAGATAATTTTCCTGCCAAGGTTGATTCGCCAAAGATTAGATTTTGAAATATTTTGTAATAATATTTTGCATGCTTAAGCAGAACTAATTTAAATATCTCGACCAATTATCGAAAGAAACTTGAGTGGACAAAAAAAATAATTGATTGAATTGATTAGATTTGAAATCTGTCTCTGATTGATGAGCTACAGAGGTGTTAGATAAGATAAGATGAGATATAGTTTATTACTAAAAATACACATACAAGTTATAATGTTACAAGCAAAAAATCTGCAACTATTTTTATATTGTTTACTATATTTATTTAATTAAAGCAATTAGATGGAGATTAGCTATTTGCTGTTTTGGGTATTATCCCAACCTAATTAATATTAACACGTTTACAATATGATGAATATTACTAGGTTTTGAAAGTTTACAATAAGTCAGGGATTACTTATTGTAATGTAAAATCTAGAAATCTATACAAATTTTGCGTGAAACAAAATATGATATACAATCATATTCCTTTAGACCAAGAATGGAAATTACCCATTCTTCATGAATTACTTAAAGTTAAAGAAGATAATTTTGTTCTAAACAACTTTGATGATAATGAGATCGCAACCATGATCAACTTTTTATGTTCCGACTAGAAACTATATTTATATATTATACTTTATTCTTGTTTTTGTCTTATCATGTTGTACCATTTTACCTTTGTGTACGAAATAAATCTATAATAATAATAAGAGTTAAATTTAGAGAGACCGAGGTGCAGCATAACAAAATAATTGATTTTTCAGTTTTAAGTTTAGTACGTTTAGCAGAATAAGATTAAGCATGTACAAAAATCTACAAAGTTTTACATTAATTTTTTTGCAAGAATAACAAAACGGTTTATTGCACTTTGAGATGTAGACGTTTACAACATTTAATCTAGTATTGGGCAAAAAAAAACCATGAAGCGCAATTTTTTTTCATAATTTCAATAATTTATTGAGACTCTAGAGACTTTATAAAACTATCTAAAATGAATGAGTTTAAGAGACCGTAAACTAGATTAACTAAAGAATAGGGGAAAAAGACTAAAAGCGCAATTTTTGTTTAATATTTTATTGAATAATTGATTGAAACTTAAAACACTTAAAAAATATCTAAATTGAATGAGTTTTAGAGGTGTAAACTGGATTTAATAAAAGAATTTGACTAAAAAACGCGAAGCGCAAACATTCCTCATGAGTCCTGGTTATGGAAGTATATATTGGACGAATCAATTATGAGCAGCTATATTTTTAGAGAATTAATTAAACACATATTTGTTATAATTCTCATGCTCAACATGTTATCTTTTTGCCACCTTTTGACCAACATTACCGACCTATGATTCCCCCAAAAGAGGGCGGTTAAGTTACTTATCGTCCCTTGGGACACTTATGTGAAATCACCACCATAAATTCGCACATTTTCATCTCAAAAGACGAAGAAATTGTGTACAACTACTTTTTCGGGAAGTTACAAATTTTACTTAACCACAGGAACCCCTGGTAAAGTAAAATTCTCAGAACTATACAGCAGTTACAAACAATTCACGCATTATTTTAGAAAAAGACACCACAAACAATTATCTTTGGTAGATATTGTAGGAGAACAAAGTCATATAATTTTTATAACTATTAATTAATAACTATTATAACTATTAATAACTATTATTAATTACTACTTAACCGGGAGATTAAGGGAGGATAATTAAATTGAGGGGAAAACCACTTAGCCGAGGGCCTCCAAGACCTTTTTGGGGTTCTAAACCTCACGAGCGTAGCGAGGGAGGTTTAGAACCCCAAAAAGGTCGAGGAGGCCCAAGGCTAAGTGGTTTTCCCCTCAATTTAATTATCCTCATGAAAACTCCCGGTTAAGTAGTAATTTATCGTTTAATCTCCTGTTCAACGAAATAACCAACCGTGGGGGATTAAATAATAATGAAATCAATAAAACTATCAATTATGATTTTAATTCTCTTATTTCTTACTAATGCATATGGAAAAATATTTAATTTCTTGATCTAAATCTTGAATTAAATCTGTATGGATCACAGATTATCGTCCCTGTAAATAGGGAGGATAAGTAATTATCCTCCCTGTAAATAGGGAGGATAAGTAATTATCCTCCCTGTAAATAGGGAGGATAAGTATTATCCTCCCTGTAAATAGGGAGGATAATTACTTATCCTCCCTGGAATTAAAAAAGGAGGGAATTTAAGGTTGGTTATTTCGTTGAACAGGAGATTAAACATTTAAAATATCTTTTAACTGTAATTTTTGGACATTATTTTTTACCAGTTTTTTGCTAATTTTTTTAACTTAGGCAATGTTTGAGCTTTTTTATAATACCATTTTGAAAATCATTAGATATACGGTGGTAGGCAATAGTACAAATATAACAAAGACGACTTTTTATTAAAGTTTTAATTGTTTATAAGCTTTTTTCGAATTACAAGTTTACAAGTAATTAATGAGAAGCTTTTTTAATTGGCAGATTATCTTTGTTTCCTTCTTTTTTGTATCCTTGCTATTTAAAAGCTTAATATAAATCAAAATTTATATCGAAAGTCGTCTTCATTATACTGATGTTTTCGCTTACCACCATAGTTTAAACGATAGTTTATAGGTTTTTAAAATTTTGGTTTGTATAGAAAGTAAAAAATCGAACCTTTTTTCAAATTTATAATGACAATATAGAGTTGACATTAAAAAAGTTTTTTTTGACAAGTTTAGGGTAATTTTATAAGGTTATTGCCACAGAGTTTATATTTATAATACAAAAAAAGTTTTCATATTTTTTCCCCTCTTTGCTCATACTTGGCAATCAACAATGGAATCCTAATAAAAGTTGTTCTCTAATAAAAGATGCATGCATGTTAAGATTTTACTTTAAAATTTAAGTGCATTGTTAATTTTTGAATAAAATATTTTAGTAACTTTTTGAGAAACATTGTTACGTGGCCCATTAAAGTTATTAAGACCAAAATATTTCACATAAAGGCATGGGGGCGTAGATAAGGATTCTGTAGGGGGCGGGGGGGGGGGAAAAATTTTTAATTTTTTAATTTTAAACCCCCCCCCCCCCCTAGAAAAATATCATGATGTATATCAAATTATTGGTTTTAATTGGGTTTGATTTGCATTTTCCACTCATTTCTGGGATTTACAAACTCAATCTTATAAAGGCTTCATTACAAACCTTTCAGCTTTCACCTTGTTTTATACCCTTCATTATAGTCATTCATTTTACATTAACTACAAAGATCTATAAAAAACTGAATTTATTTTATTTTAAAGTAATATAAAAAATAATAGTTTTACTCTAAGAGGAAAAAGATGTTACTTTTTTAAATCTTTAGAAAGGCTACTCTGCAAAACTTTGAAAAAATATTGTCATTACTCATTGTCATATTTTCTTGTCGTCAATGTATGTAGTATGTAAAGATCTTAACGAAATCTAAAAATAAGTACAAAATTTACAGGAGGAAGGGGGGGGGGGACACAAAAACGTTCTCTAGGACAGAAACAAGGGTTCGATTTGTTTTATATTTATTGCACAATAAAATTTTAAAGCTATAGGCATAAAAAAATCAGAATGTTCAGAATCTTTAAGCTGGCTCAAACAAACATATAATGTGCATCTCCTTTACCAAATGAAAGAAACTACGAAATAAATTTACAGAATACTAATTCTGTTTTTTTTTAATGAAGATTGAGGGAGTTAGATAAGTTCTTTGATGACTTGACCTACAAAAATATTATAAACCATTACCATAATTCATAATAGGGTCCGTCATAGTATACAATTTTTGGATCCAAGATTCTAGTGTAAATAACCCCAATAACCCCCCTTATCTACGCCACTGCATAAAGGTCTGAGACTGAACCTCTCACGCTTGCTGTTTTTGAAGTTGTATTAGTTATTTTTTGCAATTCATTAAAGATTCATTATAAGAACTACAATGGCAAATTTTTCCGGTGAACAATTTATTTTCCATTGTTACACCAAGCAAGAGAAGTCCCGGAGAAAACTGTTTTAATTATTGATATTTTGGCCAAATTGCCGCAAAACTTGGGAATAAAACATTTTTAGGGTCATTTTTGAATTTTCAGAACATTTTTACTACAGAGGAAGGCGATTTTGTCAATACAATGAAGACGGCTAATTGTAATTTAAGTTTTGATTGTTGAAAAGATTTATTCGAATTACAAGTCTACAAGTGAAAGAGAGGGGGGTGAAGGGCACTTTGGTCATTGGCTTTCTTGTCCCTTCGGCAGTTCCTCTGCAGTTCTGCACCCAATAATCATCGTTCGAGTGAAACTGGTTTTTCGAGGCGAAAACCTCACTTTATTATTCGCTTTGATTATTTGTATCATTGGAATTTTACACACGAAATTAATTATAAAAGTTTAAGGATTGAGACAAAAAGTCAGGAAAAAAATGTCAAAAATATTGTAGTTTCTAGTTATCATACATAGTTTTGATGATATGTCACCTTCAAGTGTTGTTGTGATTAGTTGATTGCGATTCTCCGTTACAAGTATCGGCATTCACGCTTTCTCCACGCCACATTTTCTTGAATCATGGCTTCGAAAGGTAAATAACGCTTAATTTATTTGTAGTTTTTATCATAAAAAATAACCGGTAATTTCCTAGAGAACGGTTTTTGGACCCGCCCCCCTTCTCCAATCAATTTTGTAAATTGATCTCATATGTAACACATGGACATAATTGATCATGAGGCCTCAGCGCCGGCCCCCTAGCCGCGACGCTCGGCCCCTTCGCCTTTCCCAGTCTGAGCGCTTGGCCCCCCTAGCCTGTCCTAGCCGGAGGGCTCGGCCCATGAAGGGTTTATTCCTAGAGAACGATTATTGGACCCAAGCTCAAATTTTCTAATCCCTATCTCT